AGGAGTCTGAGGACTAAGTGCTCTGCAGGGGTCGCAAATAGCAGGTGTCTATGCTTGTTAGTACTGTCTCTCTATACTAAATTGCACTTACCGTAGCGGTGGGTGTAGCGGCCGGCATTGCGATCGTTGATTTTGGGGATTTGGGGTGATTGTGGTGTTGGTGGCTGGGTTGAAAAAGGCCGGTGGATTTTTTTTGGGATTAGCTGCCGCCTAATGTGGGCCCACTAATGGGTGGGGCGGCCAATGGGATGGCTGGAAATGGGCTTCGAACGTCGATGTGAGAAAAGGCCAGTTGAGAGCTAAGCACCCTCACCCTGTCAATGACTCAACCATGCCTGAGGGCTGGACTTTCTCTCAGCGGCGCCTGCAACGTCACTGTCTAGTTACCTCATACCTTCTGGACCTACTGGAGGCGACTAGCCATGTGCTACGTTCTCGTGTTCAACAGTTTCACTAACCGGCTGTATCCTTAACTTTGTCGCCCTGATGTTCAGCCTCGTGGTTTTTGAACGAATGAGCTCCGGCGGGGCTATAATCCGAATGTTGAATTAATCCTATTCGCACAATGGACTCTCGATTATCGACGAAATTTCCTGCAGTATGGTACGACTTTGCACCAGCACTGTTTCAGCCCACTGCCAGTTGGTAGCCGCATTGAATTGCATGCTCCACTGTCTCTAACGTCGAACCAGACTCGTGTGCTGCAAGTGCAATACATTGCGGAATGACGTGCGTTAGAAACCTTCCTGGCGCAGACCTTCGTGTAGCAGGATAGACGAATCCACTCAACAAGATCGGAGACATCTGCCAAACCCGGCGAATTTTCGAGACAGACATCAAGTCCGCATTCGTACGTACAAGCGCGGCAAGATCACGCACTTGAGCTGTCAGCTTTTCACTACTGTACTATGACCGTTGCTTCACTACTGCTCCGCCGTTGAAGATGTCGGCCTAGACTAGGTAGCCCAGGAACATGCCCTTCTGACGAAGTTTGTTCAGCCACCAGTCCACAGCCCCTCCAAAAAAGTGAGCTCGTCACAGACGTTCGCTCACGCCCGCACCGCAAACGCAAGGGCAACGCTGTTTCACCAGGCGGGCCACTCCGTATTCAAAAAATTCTTTAGGGCGTCTAGGCACGGGTCCGCGAGGTCTTCCCGACTACCTCTACTCCAAGGCCCTTATGCGGTTGACGTTGTGCGCGCGGATCAAGAGACAGCCTTAGCGGGTCTTTCCGCCCTGGATGCTCATCACGGTCTCACCACGTTCATCCGTGTATTTCTTCATGTTGGTTTGGACTAACTAGGAAACTTGGTTGTTTCAGACATCTTTGCCACGTGGGATGAAGGTGGAAATTGCGGGGAGCTGGGTCGGACAGAGCGAAACTGACTCATTCAGCAATGACATCCACACACTTCCAGCGGAGCAGTTGGCCGATGACGATGGTAGTCTGCTACCGATCATTTTCGGCTTGGCGGAAGACGAAGAACATCCGATTCGGACGACTGTGGTGCGGTACTAAGCTACAACGCCACCACGAATCTCGATGACAGCCCTAGAATCTAGGCACGCTACATCGTATTATGCAACACCAAGCTGCACCGCTCACGATGTGTCGATATGAGGAAACATCCGCGAGCTGCACGGCAATACCCTCTCGCATATACACACCAATCAGGATGCTGCCAGCAATCTTATCTCTACGAAGCTCTATTCTGTCCTCTCGATCGCTGCAAGGGGTCTGGTCCGGTAGGTTTGATCGAAGCCGAAAGTTTGACCACTGCAGGCATTGCATGATCGAACACTTCGGTGCGGACCGTTTGTCTGGACAAGACATCCGCAAGTTACGTGTCAACCTTACCACCCACCATGCTGCACAGCTCGCAATCCTGCAGGTAATTAAAGTCTCTAATGATGCCATGATGATCACTACGCAACATTTAGCGGCGCCGTTGGTCTGCTCTTTGAAACAACTCCGATGCTGCAAGATGTGCAGGAGCGATCTGGGCACCTAGATGAGAGAGCTGGATATCGATACCCTGCGCGTGCGTATTCCCCAACGAAACGCTTGCAGAAATGATTGGGCACCAGTGCGACATACCATCAGATACCCCATTGCCTCTTGGAGTAATGCCGGGACATCCTCATCTCCCATTCCAAGCTTGTGGATGCCCCAATGTGGTCGAGCAAACAACGAGCATCCTTACATATCATGCCCAACAACGCCCAACAGGGCCAGCACGTTGGAACTTGTTGAGAAGAGTCACAAAACCGGTTGCAGTCGTGAGGGGTGGCACCCGCACTGGTTGTTTAGGGCTGACTGTGTAGCACTCGTTTCGTTCATGATCAGCAGATAAACGGTTGCTGATCGCGCCGAGAGAAGGACCGAAGAAGCCGTTGGATTGACATGGGGAGGCTTCGCGCCGTCCACGGTTTTTTGGCTTATCTCGGGGGATCTGTGACTGGGGTTTTGCAAGATTGTCTCTGGTCGCGATCTCTGCGGTGTTACTTTTTGGGGTAATGGCGCTGTTGGAGCTCGCACATAGCACGCAATCGGGATGTTGTGGTCAGTCGGTCAATACAGGGGATGTGGCAATCAATAGTGATGCTGAATGCGGGTGCATGGAGCAGTGCTTGAGCCGCGTCGTTCTTTGCTGGGTTGAGCGGCTCCAGCTGCTTTCAATGGCTGACGAACCCCGCAAGGGAATGCGCGTTCAGTCTTGCAGGCGCTGGACGCGCACTGCAACGTCTCCCAGGAAGCTGCCTTCGCAATGTGGCATCCATTTGCCCGCGATAGCGTAGTCCCTTTGGGAGTTCCGTTCCTCTGGAGCCTCATTCTTTTTCGAACCGCTCTCCTCCGTTGGCATGCTAACTGCCGTGTTCGCCCAAAGTCTGACATAAGATCAATGTGAGCCTGATCAGTGCACGTGGGAGGCAATCGCCCCTTTTCTCATCCCTTTCACAGTGCAGTGCGAGATTGGGTACGTGTAGCTGCAAGAGACGTAATGTAGGTGCAGTGATGGTGGATAAACGGCAAGTAACGAGTGTTGTTAAAAATACACATTGCCACCCAGTACCATTAACGTGGGTACTACCATGGCGAAGGCACATTCGAGCTTTCGCCCAAGACGTTGCTTGAAGCGATGGATGAGCTTCCTGGCCTTCCCAGCATTTTGCCATGTGCTTCCAGGAGCTTCTCATGACAGAAGCCGATGATCTTTTGTCGAAACTCAGGATTGTAATGCGTGCACAACTCATAGTGGTCGCAGTCAGCCACCATCATTTGTTCATTTGGCAAGCCAATCTTGGCTAATTCGTAGGTAACAATCTATAGCATGTGTTAGAATCATGTATGGCGAAAGGCAGCTGTTTGTGGTGTGATGTGTAATCTCTTTACGACATACCACGTATTTTTCCGCTTTCCATCTCCGTCCAAGTAGCTTCGTCTCTTCCACTCGCATCGCCTTGGTTTCTCGGCCATCCCAGACTGATAACACAGGCATGTTGGGAAGGGATTCGCGGATGTACTTGTCGAACTCCTCAGAAAGTGAACGGACATATCCGGTTTGGATGTCCAGATCCATGAGCTTCCTATCGATGGTCTTTGACCTTCTGGACGTAGGCGGTCTTGTGATGATACCCAGGATATTCTCATGATCTGCCTTGTTTTCATTTGTAGGATGGGGTGTTCCAAGAAAGATGATTCCGACTGTATTGTTGACGAGATCCTTATGCCACTGGGCCGGGAAGCTTCGGAGCTCAAGGCTACTAGACTTCCAGAAGAACTTGTCTTCGTCAGCCTTGACCCTTCTTGTTCTGTGCTTCAATAGACTCACATCTTTTATGAAGATACCTCCGATACCGTGGCCCAGAAAAACCATGGGTAGTGACATCGTCTACAGTTCTTATTAGATTATGTAGCTGACTTGGGTAGTATGGCCACTTACGTTAGTCCGCTCGCGATATTCATGGAGCTGCTGCATCATCGTGTGTGAACTATCCCTTACTTGATTCCAGCGATTGAATTCTTTTCCATTGACTGGTAAGCCGTGTTCGAGTGCAAGGACTTGGATGTTCATGTAGTGCTTGGTGAGGTCGCGCACAAGTGGCTCATCGTGGAAGCCGTCTCTACTCCAGATTTCGGCGGGAAGATCACCCAAGCCTGGTACGATAACGACACTATACTGATGTCAACGCAAAGTTACTCTCATTAGATGGTTCACTTACTATGCATCGGGCTCCAGAGTATGCATAAGGTCGCTTGGCAGTTCGAGAGGCCTGATCGTGCAGCCTTTCTCACGAACGATGGAAGAATCTTTTGACCACGCCGGACTCATGGGGCTGGCACTGGCACTGTCTAGGGACATCTGAGAGAATGGCATCGCCCTCGTCCAATGGCCGCTAGGCGCCCTTGGGGACGTGTCCGATATTGACTGTGACGGTGATGCCTCTGATAGGGTTGTACCAGGTGAAAGGGTAAAGTCATCGGCTGTTATCGGCCTGTCAAAATACTCTTCAGTCTCTTGTAGAGAGTCTGTACTGCCTAGATCAGAGCGTAGTGTTGCTGATCTCGTCGCATATGGTGGTGTAGTGCTGCCGGATCGGCGCTCTTCTTCCGAACTTCTGTGACTCTTCACACTTTCCACTGTTGCTGCGAGTGTTGAGCTATTGATCTGGTTCAATGTCGACCCACCGAGTGATTCCTGCGACTGTGAAGACGCCTTCTGTACCGTGCGGTCAGTCGGTAGGTCGAAAGCAGATGAGTCGTTGGCAAGTGGTGACGGTCGTTCTACTAGTGTCGTAAGACCAAGAGCATTTCCGTGTGAGTCTAGATCTGTAGCCTCGACATTGCGCCGTGAGAATGTGGAAAGCCTTTCTTTGGCCGAGGTTTTGACAGAGTCGAAGGCTTTTATCATTATAGTAGAACGCTCCGCATCACCCCAGGCCAGAGATGCCGTAGTCGCGGCATTAGATAATGTCTGCTGTGCTCTGTTGAAGAGATAACTGGTCCTGTTCTGGTCTTTCTCAGACAGTATAGAGGCCGGCCTATGTTATGTGAGCATGTTGATCTTCTGGAAGGGGATGATAGCTGTTCTCTTACCTCAATGATTCGATCGACTCTCTAGCCTTTTGTGCTTTGAGCCAGGGATCTTCAAGAGCTTCGTCTGCTTTGGGACGATTCTCAGGAATGACTTGCAACAGTCTCTCAAGTAAATCGCATCCTTTCCGTGAAATGCTTTGCGCTTGCAACATGTGATAAGGAAAAGGCGTTTTGCCCTCAACGTACGATCCCAAATCCTTTTCAAAAGGCTCGCTGCCAGTGAGAGTCTGGAAAACTAGTGCGCCCAAAGCCCATATATCCACGGCATTGGTGTACGATTTGCGTCCAAGGAGATCCTCACAGCTGACCCAACCTTTTCTTATCAGAATTTCGGGTGCCATGTAGCCTTCCGTGCCAGTATATGTTTTAAGCGACGCGGCGTCTTGCATACGTTTGCTGACTCCAAAATCGCCGAGCTTGACCCACCAGTTAGGGCCGCACTCTTTGATTAGCACATTTTGTGGCTTCAGATCACGATGAGCGAACTCATTGTCGTGCATACTCTTGAGTCCGACGAGTATTTGATGGGCGATGCATTGGGCTTCGTGCTCTGGTAGCGGGCCGAACTTGTCAAGATAGCGGCCTAGATCGCCATGAGGAAAATATTCCATCGGGATGTATACATGTTCGTCATCATCGTACCATCCAAGCGACTTGACGAACGATGAACTGAACTATATTCATGGGTGCGTCAGCCCTGCCTAACCCGATGGGTCATGGCTTGAGACCGAACGAAAGAATACTCACCTTCTCCTGAGAGAACTTCGCTATCGCATGCAGTTCAGGCTTGTAGTCGACTTTAGGCCCCTTCTTGATGATCTTGACGGCTCGTCTCTTTGAGTCACTGTCGCCGCCGGCCCCTACCAGCTTCTGCAGCCAAACGGTACCGAACGATCCCTGGCCGAGTTGTTCGGTCTGCTCCCACTTCTCCTTCTTGTTATTCTTCCCGAGAAGAGGAGTCGTATCCGGCGTCCGAACATGATGGATGGTGAAACCTTTCTTGAAGATAGTGTCCAGTTTGGAATCGGCCACTAACTCCGGCACTATCTCCATAGCTCCGATATGCGTGGAAAGTGGGGCAGTCAAAGGGGAAGTAGCGAAGGCCTTGGAAGAACTAAACACAACACATAACACACGACAAAACCGGTATGCGAGCAGCGCTGAAGTAATGCTGCGTGCGAGAGGTGAGAGGGGTGTGATGTATTTCGGAAGCAGCAGCAGCGTCATGATCCAACCCCAGCCTACCCCGCCGATGTACCCAGGTGGCACGGCAGGCACTGCCTATTCGCCCCCCAACTGCGCATAGGTGGTAGAGATCGACCCTGTATCTCTTCTCGTATGTATATTAACTAGCCTTGCGCCGTCATACACAGCCTGTTCTGCGTCTATTTGCAGCTTTGTCGGCCCCTCACTCTCAGCCACTGACGATTATCGCTACCCGTTCCGTCTGATCCTTGACAATACCCCTCCAATCTAGGCATTCCCTTTGCCTCGTACCCTGCAGTGCATCTGCTGTTACTCGCTTCTTTCTATAACTGTTCATTGTTGATCGCGACCCTCAAGTCGTCTCACGACAGTCTCGTAAGACTTCGCAATGTCGGTTGAAGTGGCCCTGGCAGTCGTCGCGACTGTTGACCTGGCAATAAAGTGAGTGTCTCACTTTCAATGCAACCTCCTACTAAAACTTGTCTAAGATATGGCGAACGCCTTGTCGACCTGTACAATAGCTACCGAAATGCCTCGGACGAGATCAAGGAGCGAGTGCTATTGATGAGGAACAGCTGGTTCCGAATACAAACCCAACTCCGATATCTCGAAAGGATCAAGACCATACAGGGTGAAGAGTTCAAGATCATGCAAGATCAGACACTCAGAGTGCTGCAGATCAAGTTGGAGGCTGCGGTGGGCGAAGTGCAAAACCTTGAGAAGAAGCGAGACACCGCCATTACCACCAAAACGGCGGGTGCTACGACGAAGGAGACGAAATATCATAATTGGAAGTATCCTTTCGTCAAAAAGAGCCTCGATGCCGCCATAAGCGAACTGCAAAAGTGGCAGCAGGCTTTTGATCCATCCTGGTATCTAGCCCTGATGATGTCTAACCGGCTGATAGACAATCATTTGCAGGAGTTCTTCAAGAGCGATTCTGAGCTGCCACCAGTTGATCGCAATGTCATTTTCTCTGCGATAGGAGTTCGCGAATCACTCAAACCGGAATCAGGCACCGGAGAGAAGAAGAAGGTGTTTCTACCAGACAACGCGACTTCGGGCTTTGTGCGCACGCCAATCTCATACTCAACAGCGTCCTTAGGTCAAACGCCAGACAAAACCCAAACCTTCGTTTTAGACTCCGTCCCAAGTCAACAAGGCATCAAGCCCGACATTCAAGTCGCAGACGTACGCGATCTCGCTCGCAAGCTCAATGGAGCAGACGCGCTTTCATTTGGCCTGCTCAGATGCTTTGGTGTCGCCAAGGTATGCAAACATAGCAGAACGACCACAGCTTACGATTTCGTGTTCTACATCCCGTCCTCGGTGCGATCACCACAGAGTCTCCGCAACATATTGATCGAAGCAAAACCCAACGTTAGTCTCAGCACGCGCTTTCGCCTCGCGCTCCAGCTCGCACGATCTGTTACTTTTGTCCACACTTACAAATTCGTGCACAAAGGCATCAGACCCGAAACAATCCTAGTCTTCGATGCGGAGAAGTCCGAGTATACACTCTCATTCTTGGTTGGCTTCGAGAAATTCCGCGCTGCGGACGGAAGAACTGTGATGGCTGGCGACGCCGCCTGGGAGAAGGATCTGTACCGCCACCCGGAGCGACAAGGACTAAGACCAGAAAGCGAATACACGATGCAGCATGACATCTATAGCCTCGGTGTGTGCTTACTGGAGATAGGCATGTGGCGCACGCTCGTCACGTACAACAGCACGAATGAAGCGAATCCATCGCAACTCTTGCCGCCGCCGGGCTATACCGAGAAGAAGGAAGTGACCAAAGCTGCATCGCTCAAGGAAACGCTCGTCGGACTTGCGCAGCGCGAACTACCCAGCTGCATGGGCGACAAGTATACAGACATCGTCGTGACCTGTCTAACATGTTTAGACGAAGACAATCCCGAATTTGGTGACAAGACCCAGTTCCAAGATGAAGACGGCATAACCATCGGGGTGCGCTATATCCAAAAGGTTAGCAACATGACGCTCACGAGATTGGAATTGTACTAATGGCTCGGTCAGATCTTACTTGGACTGAGTAACATCTCAGTCTAGATAACCAGGGAACGCGACCTTGCAATCAAGATAAATATGATTCCAATTCACCGGCAATGATTTAAAAAGGACACACAGGTGCATATACTGTAGCGCAGAATACGAGCAAGGTGACCTATATAAGTACTTCTCTCGTGTGAAACCTGCGAGCTGAAGTAGTATCTCGTGTCGAACGCACAGTCTCTTCGGCACTGCCTTCTCTCCACGTGCTTCGCTTTTTGATCACTCATGGATCATCACTACCTCCTAGAAGCCTATCGTCGCTGCCGCTATATGGTATTGCAGTAAACAGCAAGACAACGAGCCGCACATATGTTTTCCACGATATGATGTCCTTTCGCAAACTTACTCATTTTTAACAACCTACTCCTCTCGTACCACTTCCGCGATTTTCGCGACTTCCACCACTCAGACGCAACATAAACTCTCAAACTAGTCTTGTCGCCATCACAGTAAAAACATCAAACAGGAATAACGTGAATGTACGACAGCCATGCAAATGACAAATACAACCCATCACATCATCACACCATCATACACTACATACAACGGACACAGCGCCCCAGTCACAGGTCCAAAGGACTGCTCAACCAAATCCCGCTTCTAGTTATCAAGTGATACCGCGATGAGCGTTTCACTACAACGTACCGCATCACATCGCAGCTCGCAAGCATCACTACCGACATCACAACATCATAAACATCACTCATGCCCACACAATACACAAGATAATTAAGCACATCATAACACATCTTTCATGTCTCTCACTCTGACCATACGGTGCTTTTCTGCGATATTTCCACCAACCATACGCCCATTGGGTATCATTACTCCATACCCAGTCCATGTCCATGCTAATCCACACCATGCCATGCTTGTTTGAAGAAAAGAACCCAAGAAACGCCCTCGCTATGCATACAAAATCTTTATGATACACCTTCTTCCTCCTCCTCCAAACTCAATCCCCAACTGCGACCTCCGTGATCGCAGTACTCGTGTGATGTGTCGGTTCAATAGTGCAGGGAGGGCCAAGACGCGGGTACGGAAGAATCAGACGACTAATCCGACAATTCAATTGCATCGTCTTCCGTCGCGCCTGGTTTGCCGTTCGCACCGGGATCAGCTGCGCCACCACCGCCTTCATCACTTCCATTCTCACTACCGTCTTCTTCATCTTCGTCTTCGTCCTCGTCTTCCTCATCAAAAGACTCTGCATCCTCATCTTCTTCAATCTCGTCTTCCTCATCGAGATCAGAGTCCTGGTCGTAATCGAGCAACTCCTCGTCGTCGCCGTCGTGCATCTCAGAGTCTGCGTCTTGGTCTTCTGCGTCTCGGTCGTAGTACTCTTCCTGTTGCTCCTGCTCCTGATGTTGCTGGTAGGGTACAGCCTGGGCAGGAGTAAACTGAGCTTCGGGATAAGATGATGTAGTGCCGAAGTGGTTGTAAGACTGGATGTCCTCTTCGTTGTCGGTCATAATGGCGTGCTCATCTTGAGCATCGACATCGATGACGTGTGCGCCGTTGATTGATGCAAAATCACTACTGAACTGGTCTTGCTTGTAGCTCATCGGCTGGGATGAAGTCTGTTGGACGAAGGAAAGCTGCGTGGGTATCGGTGAAGAGATATCCAGTGGCTCTGTGCTGGCGGGTCGGGTGCTAGCAGGTGATTTGCTGAGACCATTTTCGATTCTGTAGGCGCGAACAGCCTCTGCGCCTTGCCCGTAGAGATGACGTGGTACGAAGCGGCTTGTGCGTTCCCAGTATGCTGGACGGTTCTTGATGGACGTGCTAGTGCGGAAGGTGCTGCCGTACGCCGATGTGCCGTATGTGGACTGTCGGCTCTGAGATGCCGAGAGTCCAAGATTGGGCACGCTGCGACTCCAGTCGTGTTGGACATTTGATGAAGTGGCCGCGGGAGATGCAAGACCCCTAGCCCGTGCGATGAGCTGGCTGGCATTTGCATCAAATGATCCTGATCGATACGACTTGCCTGGGGGGAAAGAAGGAGGTGGCATCTCAGCTCTTGAATCTGCCAGCGTCCGTCGGGCCCTTGCGATGAGATCGTTCGTTGAATCGTTGAATGAAGACCGTCCGCTAAACGACATCGCGCCGTTAAAGGAGTGAGACGGTGATGTCGTGGATGTTGATTGCCTAAAAGACTCCTTGATGGCATCAGCACGAGCGCGCTGTTCTTCGAGCATAGTTCTCGGAGTTGACTGCTCATGTTGCTCCGGTGCAGGCGACGCTGGTGACAACTTGGGTCGCTTGGGCTCGATGAGCTTGGGCTTCTCTTCGTCTGATGAACCAAAGTCAAAGCTGCGCTTCCGGTGCTTGCTCGGATCGATGCCCATAGCGCGCAACCTGAACCAATCCGTTTCGGTCCGGTCTACTGGTGCATTCGCAACGGCTTGCTGATATGCCTGGGAGTATGCGGTGATTGACGTGCTGGCGTTGCTTGTGCTCTTGTCGAAGGTAGACTCAGGAGATGGGTTGTTGACCGGCACCGATTTGGCAGCTTTCACACCATTCGTCTCCGAGCTCTGAGCCTGGAGTCGCTGTTGTGTTCGCTTGGCGCGCCGAGAATTCGAAGATTGCTGAGACACCGATCGCCGCTCTGGTGGTACTACTGTCGTCTTACCGTTCGATGTTGCCGGCTGTACCGGCGCAGGCGCGTCTGCCGGTTCTTTCTCTGGTCCGGCCTCCGCCTTTGCTCGCTGCTCTTTCAGTCGCTTCCTCCTATCTCGTGCCTTTTGTAATTTCTTCTTCTTTTGCAC